CGATTTCGATTTAGCAATTCAAAAATCGGCTGTTTAATCTAGCTGTTTAATCGGCTGTTTAATCGATTTCGATTTAGCAATTCAAAAATCGGCTGGATATTTGATGAAGATCATATGGAAACAATACATTCTGCAGTAAGATTGATTTTGGTGAAAAAACACTAAACAACTYATTGAGGGTAAATTGGTCATTTTAACCAGTTCTGTCCTTCCTGTCCTGTCTTACCAAACGCTGAACAGCTGTTCTGTCCTGTCCTGTTCCGTCCTGTCCTATCTGCGCACCAAACGCACCCTAAAAGCTCAAATCTCCTCTAGATGCATTACAAATTTAGCCACCAAATATTAAAAAAAAACATTTGGCTTCAGTCCTGAAGCTATTAAAGCCTCTTCATTTAAAATTATAGAGTAGCTAGACAAACCTGAGTACAGGTACATCATATTTATTTAATTATTAATATACAAATTCTAATTTAGAGAGATTGTAACTGTAGCACAACAAAACGAAAGAAATCTAGGAGTGTGGATATAGAAATTCAATCCATGTTGACCAGAGCAAGTGGATGGCAGAATAAATATCATCTTCATTGCTCTCATAGCAAACAAGAAATCTCAACTACACCCTAGCAGTTCATGTCCCAATTATTCATTTGTGACCTCCTAATTGTACCCAAGACATCAGAAAGCATCATTCAAGCACCCCAGTTGACAGCTCCCCCAAATTTATGCACCAACATGAAAGAAAACAGAAAAGATTTGAAGATATGGAGATTCAGCACACGTGCAAAATAAGAGGATGAAAAATTAGAAACTTACCAGCTTACAGAAACATGTAGCTCGATTATTATGACATATTGACCTAATTTCAGAAGAAGAGGACATCTCAGGTGCAAGTTGGATAGCATAATCATACTTCAATAATGCCTCTTGATACAGACCATCTCCAAATAACTTATTTCCTTCAACTTTTGCCTCATTCATTTGAGCTAAAATTTTCTGCACATAAACGATAACAACATGAAGTTATTCTACTTTTATGGTGATCCCCAAAAAAATGCATCATTTAAGCCTAACCAACAGGTGAACAATAATCAACAAGCAGAAACACTGTAAACTCGAGAGAAAGATTCTTTAGAAGATCTTCTAAAGAGTTCAGCAAGAAGCATATGATGACCTGATATTTATAGTAACAGCAAAAGCATTTCAAGATTACAACATATTGTATGCATTAGGATCAGAAGAAAGCTGGAGCTTGAGTTTGATGTTAATAATAAACCTAGTGCGACTATTAATTACATGTTTAAGGTAGTGTTCCATCAAGACATGGGTGCAAGGGAAGGTTGCTTTAATAGAGCTTTTCCTTTTCAAATTAGAGAAAATATGGTAAACCAAAATCAATATTGTAAATAATTTTTACGGTGATAGGTACTTTTAGTTTAAAGTTATTAATAAAATAAAATTTGGTACCTAACATGGGTGTTTCCTGTTAGTCTTTCCCATTAACGAAATTCATTGTTGAGAATATCAACAACTTCGACCCTCCTCAATGGGTTCTTATTGCTGTAAGTGCCTGGAATACCGATGCTTAAAGGACAGAACAACTAAATGTTGTTATCAACGTTTTAAACTCCTTTAGATATTTACCTTTTATGCTTCTGATATACCGACTTAAACAACATGTCTTTAAGCTAAATGTGTTCCCGTTGTAACCGTCATGAGTTCTTCTAACGAGAACCCCGTCTATCAAGAAAACAATTATTATTTCTCTTGGCAAAGTAACTCTCCATAACGGTCCTCTTTTGTCCAATTGCTTTACTTCAGAATTTTTGTCATATGTTCTTTGAACCTATATACTTGTATACCATCAAATAATAGGATTAAGAACGTTATTCACTTAAGTCCCTTAGCTCATCGAATGCCCGAGTTTTGATATTCACAGAAGCCATTTATTTTTTTCTTTGAATTATAATTTATCTTAGATGGATCTTGACAAGTATGTGTTCATGTTTTTGAACCAAGACAAAATTATACAAGAACGTATATTAGGATAATTGGACCTTGTGGAGGTGGGCATGCATAGTTTTTGATTAAGTGGCATGGACAATAAGAGTGTGGTTGCACTTCATGCATCATACACATCTTCATGTGCTAGAACCATTGCTACCAGGGATTCTTTTTCCTTTTTCAAACACCTCAATATTCATCACTCTTCTTAAGCACTTCATAGCTCGATAGAATAACATTTATTGATCTCAACCTATTGTCTTACCACTTGGTACTTGCACTCTCGAAGCATGGCTTCCATTTTATTGAAGCCAATTGAGCGAGTGACTAATATCATTGCTAAGACGATGATCGACCCCAAAACCATACCAGCACTAACAACATCCCATCGTCCAACTTTTTTGCATGTGGTTGCATAAGATAACATAAATGCATGCAGCTAAGACCTTTGTAAATAAATACTTGGTCGCTACAAGACTAAACATAATGTTTTCATATCACTATAATCATGTAGCCTCTCACATTATTTTTAAGGTAATAAAGTACTAACAACTCAACATTATCCTTGTTATCTTGCCCAACCAAGCAACCTAACATATGGATATTAAAAGGTCCTACAAGCAGTCATCATAAAAGGCTTTGATCAGTACACTTTAACCTCAAGTCCTTATCTAGTTATCTTGATTGTCTTTAACAAAAAGCCATCTTTCTTGCTCTTCAAAAGCCAGGACTGAACTTTCAATTCACTAGATAAGTAGCAAATAAATCATCTAAGAGCTAGAAATAATTTGTTTAAGAAAGATCATCTGAAACACCTCTTCCCATCCACCTTGAATGTCTTTCCAGGCAGTGACTCAAGCTCTTTCTTGGTCCCTACTGGTACTGTATCGAGTAAGGCATTAGCCTTATCTTCTTTTTTACTTCAATCACCCTTCGATGCACCAAGAAGCTTAGAAAATTGCATGCCCACACCACAAAATCACAATTTTCTAATGCTTCTAAAAGATTGACCCAAAGAAGCAAAAGCATCAACACATGCTTATAACTACCACATCATCAAGATAGACCTTCATGAAGCACTGATTATATCATGAAAAATCGAATGTGCTTTGCAACTTGAACAATTTACATATTCATATCTATTGAAGGCTCCAATAAATCTTAACAATATATACTTAATGGTACCTTTAGTTCGTCCATGAGGCTAAGTATCTCATAGACATGGTGTTAAATCAACTAGCATATAGGAAGGGAGCAGGCAGCAGTCAACAGTTAGCATAGCAGATCCACCTTTTGGCGAAACTGTGTTCAAACCTGTGAGGTGCATACGACCATGAGAGAATCTTTCTAATCATATGTCATGGTTCTCATGCATCCAAATACTTCCTCTATGTTTCTTCTTTCACCATAAAAAGAAACTTTATGACAAATCAACGTTATAACCTTGGTAACTCGCATTCTTAGTTACTCACTCAATCTTTACGTACTCCTGACATTTCATTAATCTCCTAGCCAACTAGTTAGTGTTTTGACATAGTATCTCAATTATTTTAGCCTTATATTGGTTTTCAACAACTTGTAGATATAAGTTGCCTAAGATTCTTCTCCATCCCATGGAGTCAACTTTGGGCCAAATTCTTTCCTAGATGACACATTTTTTTTCTTCAATAACTTTATTAGCCATATGCAAGGCAACCACAACCAAGTCGTGCTCACCACCTCAACATTTTGTGCATAACTACTCCCAAGATATGTGGGGGAGTATGCTTTCACAAGATTAAAACCAGACACTGCAAGACAATCATTGCACTATGAGTATAAAGATCCAAAAGCACTGAAACATAGAACCAGAAAGCATAATCAGTCCGGAAAAATACAATTTAAGGCCAACTGCAAATCGCAAAGGTAATCTTGGAAATGCTTCAAAACATAGGTACCGTCACAGCATTCTATGCTACAATATTGAAACGATATCAAATATATAAGAAATCTACCTCTAAGGGCATCTCCAATCAACCGCCAATTTTAGGGATTTGGCGTTTGTTACTTCTCCAATCGATCGGAAAATGTTATTTGAACGGCAAATTTGCCGTGGGTTTCTTGAACGGCAAAACCAGTGGACCCATTAATTTGTATTAAAAATTATTTTTTATTTAATAATTTAGGGGTTGATTGGGTTATTTTACCGTCGGTCCATAAATTTGGTATTTTTTGGAGTATGATTGGAGTTGAATTTTTTTTAGTGTTTATAGGCCCACCATATTTGGTGTTTTTTTTGTGTGAAGGTTGGAGTTGCCCTAATATAACCAAGTAATTAAACATTCAGCTCGAAAAGAAAGCATAAACCCCAAAAATTATACAAAACGGGACTTCAAAAGCAATAAAAAGCAAACCTGCTTGAGTTCATCCTCATTAAGTGCATCTTCATAAGTCTGATCCTTCGACACCACAGATATCTCTTCCAATTTGTGTTTCTGATAATTTCCAACGGCGTTCCGTGTATCATTCTTGTCAGAAACAGTCTCATCATCGCCAACTTTCGTCTCGCTTGCCGTTTCGTATCCGTCGGATGCGTATCCGGCGGCTGTTGCTTTATCACCATTTCTCGAATCTACTCCATCGACATTTGCTCTATTGTTATTGCTCGAATCTACTCTGGCGGTGGTTGAATTTGACGATTCTGGTTCAATATCGGTGGAAGGCACCGGCTCAATCACCACCATCTTGGACCTGTTTTCCGTACGGACCTCAAAAATCGACGAAGTCCGTTGGCGTGTTCTACCTTTACGATCACCTTCTGGAAAATACTACACGTGCCAATCACGTGGACATATTTTTTATTCACAAATGAATAAATGATGGAAGGTTTGAACCCCTACCTCTGTACAGATCCAAATAATAGAATTGGGACCAAACCAAATCGGACAATAATCGACCGTCCCACTCGGTTTTCTACTCCGTTTGGTCCAATCTGGTTCAAAAACCGGAAGCTCATGACGAATGAGAATGAGATCACGAAAGAAATTAGTATCGTCCAATCAAAATTTTGACTTTAAGTCGAGATTGTGAGCGGCTTAAGTGCATAACCATTTTATTGCAATATGATATGAACATCTATCAATACATGAAGTAGATATCTAATGCCAAAAGCACCGGTAAACAACCAAATGTCACAATCCAGTGAACGACCCAAGAAGACTCATCAAGACGGGTTAAAATTGAAGCTCAATTCCCATAGAGCGTCATAAGAATTTTAACATCCCTAAAGTTTGAAAATAACAAATCACAATGTAGCGAAACAAAAAATAAGTCGTGTATCGCTGGTATCGAGTTTCACTTCAAGATCATCCGCAAGTCGAGTTACACCATCCGAGTAAGTGTTTGATAAACGGCCTCTAACTCTACAAGGGTTTCCACCATAATACCCCACGCAATATAGGTGTCTACTCGTCCGCAAGTCGAGTTACACCATCAAAGTCAATGGTCCTGAAGCCAACTCTACATGAGTTCATATCGATAATACCTTATATGACTTATTGTCAACTATACTAGGCCAAAAGTCACGATGTCATACTCCTTATGAGTTCCCTATTGTAATACATTATAGGTCTAAACCTCAAAGTCAAGGATTTGTGTCGAACTCCACATGAAATGCATACTGTAATACCTAGGGTCCTAATGTCTGACTCTACACGAGTTCCCACCATAATAGCCACAGTCCCAAGTCCGACTAATTCACGTTCACTTCCGTAACACCCACGGTTATGGAGTCTGACTCATTTGAGTTCACCTTTATAATATCGACACAATCTTTAATGCCTACTGAAGCAATAGCCACAAAGAGATAACGTTAAACTACTCATTTACCAAACAAGACCGACTTTGGTGCCAATATATATACATGACTCACATTTTGAATGATCAAGACACTCAACCCATGTAATACCAATTAAATATGCACTAAACATGAACCACGTTCAAATATTCATACTGAATATATTTGTTGTTGGACAAACTCCTTGAATGAAAATCAAACCCAAATCAACAAACTATAACTAATTCAATAAAACAACAGAGACATTTTTCAAATGATTTATGCAATTTCATGCCTCAGAGTGTAATAAAGTCTAACGAAACCTTGTGTCTTGCAGTAAATCCTCAAATGACCAAACTCATATGGTTTGTGCTTTAAAATATTCAGTGGGCTCTTTTAAAAGCATTTCTCAAATGTTTACAAAAATCAAATGCACCCAATGTGACAAATCAAACAAACAACTAACAGGTATTTGTGAAAAAAATCATAAGAAATGTATTGAATACTTAAATAAGGACATTTTGACATGTATAGTGATTTTTTAAAGCAGCTAGAACCCACCTTGCTAATTTTAAGTTAAATTTATATTCAAACCCAAAACGTGTGCTTCCTTTAGTGAATAATTGAAGCCCTAAACCCAAACCCCAAGCCATACCTTTAAATGCCTTAAAAAATCGCTAAAACTGCCAATGAACCTCTCAAAATCATCTGCCACTCGAGAGAAAAGAATAGTATGAAGAAAACGAGGCAAAACCCCATAAAGAAGTGGTTAAAAATCCGTAGGTGCACGATGCGAGTGGACACCAAAAATGCTCAAAATAATGTTTCAGGAGACATGACATGCGACCCAAGTCTCCTGCCTAGTCCCCTGCACCCCAACTTGCCTAATCAATGCCTAATGCGATTTGAGAAGCGACCCAAGTCTTAACCATGGTCGCCTATGGCTTCAAATACAAAAGAAACACAACGCCCAACAAAACGAAAGAAACACACGAAAAACAATCAACCAACCGAGACCAACTAATCACGAAAAACAAGCGGCCGTGTTACAACACCACAACGCCAAGGATCCAAAGAAAGCTATAGAACGATGGGACAACTAACGAAAAGAGGCAAGTTAGATATCGATCAATAAGTCTTTCCCACGAGAACTATCAAACAAGAGTTTATTTCGAGAGCTCCAGATCGAGTAAATGGTGATCCAAACAATGGTTTTCCATAACTTACTCGTAGGGGACGAAGCATGAAAGAACTAGTCCAAATTAAAAATGTCTAAAACTGAAGTAATATCCCGAGGGGTGAGGTCCCACCACTTCAAAATTATGCCCTACAACACCGATATCAATAAGCAAAACGCAAAACAATGGTCCATCGATTCGATGACGTTATCACATTGAAGGCAACAGACTGGGTCCAGTTACATCCACATATGATCAAGACGAGCCCGAATCAGAATTCTCTCAAGCTTTAGTTGCCAGATAAAGATACAAATATTTGGAAGGAACGAGCTTGCTCAAAGCGATAGGCACAATACATGTCGAATAACACAGAAGGGGTATTGTCAACCAAATCCTTTATGTACCTCACGCCAAAGTTCCGAGCATCACCGAGCCACCAAATATAGCAGTCTCTCTGATCAGAAAAGGGCCTAACACTCCGAATGAGTTCCGCCAATTCCCACCACTCCCCTAGAACTCAACACAAGGGATATAACGCCAACCCTCGTACCACCCCCAAACCCCATTGCTCCAAAAAATACGATTTCTAACCGTGGCCTCTTTTCTACTTTCAAGCCTAAACAACCTTGGAAATTTTATCGCAAAGACGAAAATCACCTAACCATCTATCTTTCCAAAAGGACGTTGAAAGACCATTACCCACTTTTTCCCCGAAAGAGGAACTAAACAGAATACCAATATTATCTAAAACTTTTCCATCATTACTAAGGAGCCGTTTACCAAACGCTTACCCGAGTAAGCACTTACCAAGTAACATTACCTTACTGGATGAATATAGTAAGGAGATCAAAAGTTTTACCCAGTAAGTGAAGGTGACGACTCTTCCCATGGTAAACGCTTACCGGGTAAATTGTTGTATATTATGTCGTTTTGCTAGACTAAAATCTTACCCGATAAGTACATAATAATGTTAAATTTTACCGGTAAGCACTTACCGGGTAAATGTTTGATAAACGGCCCTTAACTTCTATGGTCGACCTATAAATAGAAGATACGCATGACATCTAATTATAAACACTTCATATATCCTCTTTTAAGTGCTTATTGAGTTATCTGCATTGACTGTATTTAACTGCTTTTTCGTCTACTATGCATCTTATTACCATGTTTAACTATACTGATCATAAATAATTATAATCAAGATTCGTAATGCCCTGAGCTTTTATAGTTTCACTTATGATCACAAATCTGTATATCATATATGTATACATATATGTTTTCTATTATTACTGAACGAGTACATGATATTGGGGGATTTAAATTAGGTATATACTATAAACTAAAACATAAAAAGGTAGAAAAATAGACCGTAAAAAAGATCAGTTATCGTCTTATAGAAACTGCACACCGTGCCACGTGGTTAATATGACGTCAGATACCAACCTTAAATCATGACTATTGTCATGACGTGCATTTTAAAACACTGATTAAACATAAAAACTAGAATATATTATGCAGATTAAAATATTGTTGTTTTAGCTTATTTTTAATCAATTCCAAACATTAAAAATATATAAAAAGAAAGATTACATCTTTTTTTAAAAGATTAACCTGGATATCCAACCTGCTATGCAAGACGACTAATCCCAAGACGACCACCTGCTTTATGGATAACCCGAAGCCCCGAAGTCACCTTATTTGATCCTTCATGACACAGACATTTTTATTTTTTTTTGGATTTATTTGGAATCACAAGTTATAAGCAAAAAGAAAGAAAGTTTACATTGAAAACAACCAAACCAAGGGGGAAAAATAAATATAGAAAATTGAAGGGGTAGGCTGGCTGCTTGATGGAATAGAAAAGTGGGGGAGGGAAGGGGAGGGGAGAGAGAAGTGCAAAATTTCAAAGGGTGGGAAGAACTCCACATACGGTTTGGGGTTTAGGTTTTGGTTTGGACCCCATTAAACTCGCTACAGCCCTCTATCTCTTCATTAGGTAAGGTTTCTCAGTTACATCGCTTCAAATACCTGTGTTTTTGTCTTTTAATAGGTGGATATTTGATTCAAGATCATGTTCTTAGTTGTAAAAACAGTTTCTTATGATTTGTTAATGCATGTCTTAGATTTGTGCAATTTGGTTTACTCAAGATTTGTGGAGTCCTCGGAATTTGTATTCTGAAAAGGGTATAGAGACGTGCAGTTCTCTTGAGTTATTATGATTCAACTGATATGATGTGGATGATGTTTTTGATGGATTTGAATCTATGATAGCATGGTTAATTAAGAATCCCTAATTATCGTTTTATTGGAGAATTGTTATTGAATGAATTAGGTTTTTATGGAGGAATCGCATAAATCCAGGATAAAGAAGAAAAATTTACATTTGAAAGGAATTACAGGAGCAAAGAGAAATAGAGAACTTGGTGACTTATTTAAACAAATTGGCTGTTTATAGTTCATATTTGATTCAAGATGTGTGTATTCATAAGATCCATGTTACAAGAAACTATAGGTTAGTCTTTATAGTCACATCCATATGTTTATGAATGACTGTGCCCTAGTAAGGAACACCAGTTAACATTAAGACAAATTCTTGATATGAAAAATCAGTATCAGTAGTTTGTTCTTGTTTTGCTTTTTTTGAAAATAGAATTGTGGAATCTCCTAGATCTGCTTAAAAGAAACCCAAATACCTAGAAAAGGAATCAAGGCAGAAGAAAGGGAACCCCCCTCTTACAAACACGGCAGTGGAGCGTTTGGTGGTTCGGGTGGACTCGTGTTTTCTTCTTGCTGATTTTGTGATGTGATAGGTTCATTAAAATGAATGTTATGTATAAGACAGAAAATTACTTACAGGTCTTTATCTTAACATGATGTTGTTTGTTTGTGTTTAATTCAAGATTATGCTTATTGTAAACCATTAGAAAACCAATTACCGCTCAAATCACTGTCAGATTATTCATCCATGTATCGGTTTTGCTGTTTCTTTTTGTGTGATCTACAGCTTTTTTAAGTATTGTACACTAAGATTCATGTGATACAAGAAGAGTGTAGATCTGCATGTGCATTTATGATTCAATTAATATTCATAGATGTGTTTAAGCAGTTTAAGTTTGTGGTATTGTGACTATACCCTAGTAAGATGCCCCAGATCCATTTTACAGAGAATTCTCAATATGGAACTGTACCAGAAATTTGATTGATCTTTTTAGTGTAAAGTTACAGTATCTAGTAGATCTGGATCAAGAAAAAGAGTGACTACCTAGAAGAGGAATTTAGAAATAGAATGAGAGAACTTATGGAAAGAAGCGTGGAGCATTTGGTGAACTAGCTGGAAATTTCTAGTTTCCATTGAGCTTGATCTTGTGATGAGATGCAAAATTTGCTAGCATGAATTGTTATTACGAACCGGGTAATCGATTTATGAAGGTCTATGAGTTTTTGTCATCTTAGAGGTTCTATTTAACAGTCTAAAACTTCAAAGCGAGGTGATAATATCGTGAACCTCCAGAATTGAGTATCTAAAAGGCAATTTCAATCGAAAAACCTAGATGAAAATTTATTATTGATACGATTTGCTAAATTGTGGTATCAAGTTTGTATTTTCTGAAAACTAATACGTTCTTGTGGTGGTATATATAGATGAGTGCACATTTGAGTCAGATGTGAACTCAATAATTAGGAAAATGTTTTGGTCAAGATGTCAAACATCATGTGTGGTTGACCATGTGATGGAACACCTAGAGCAGCAGAGAAACACAAAGAGTTCAAGAGGTTTTTTTTGTCTTGCTTTAAGTATTCGTTACACTATATCTTGTAGTTTTGGATTTTTAAGATGAATGAAAGGGGTTATTATTTTAAAATTTGTTTATAGCATTAGGTGGAGTGTCACAACCATGGCTAATAAATATATCATCTAAAATCTTGGACATGTTGGTGTAACCGAAGGGGTCTTGAATTTTATTAGAAAAGTGTTTTAAAGCCTCTTCTTGTCTTCTTAGGTTGATGGTGCACTAGGATAGATTAACTATCGTCATAGGGTGATTGTGTCCTATCATTTGTTGCATTATTTATAGTCTTCCATGAACTTGAGCGTTGGCACTTAGTATTCAATGCGATGGTCTCATATTTTCAGACTGCTTTATTTTACTATGTTATATAGATGTGGTAGTTTAGAAGTACGAGATGCTTTAGGGTTCTAATCAAATGGATGCATACTTACAAGTTTTAATGTGAATGGCTTGCAAAATTATCTTAGATTAAGAAATTATTATTTTGTAGGTTAAACACTATTGCTTCTGCCAATTTACGTTGATCTTTTCCAACCTTACTATACCAGTTCTTGTGCTCTTTTTTATTTGGACGTAAGTGTCATTTTCTTAACATGTATCTATGTCTCTATTTTGGGAATCATGTAGACTCATGGTACTGGTAGCCAC